ATAACATACTAGATAATACTTAATCAAATGAATGTTTACATTTTCGTTCATGAACAACGGACCGGAAATCCTGTTGTAAAAAAAAGAAACATATCTCTTTTGAATTAAAGATAAACAACCGACACTTCAGTACGACAAGGATATGCTAAATCCTATTATGATAATCATGTTGTTGTTTTATCTGTTTATACGCCCGTTATTTCAAAGACGCGACATAGGAGAGATATGTATAGTGTTACTAAGGTAGGTTTGCCATATTATACACCCATACATTCCACATATTTAGTTACACCATATCGTGACTGTGGTAAATGATAGAACAATGTGTCATCACCGGGGTGTTAATGTTTGTTAACAAGTGTATACACACACATTAACACACATTACTAAAACTGCTATTAAAGTATTATGGTTGCTGAATACGTTCATTTATATAGCCACATTACGTATGTGAATTGTAATGATGAGGTCAATGTGTGTATATGAACGTTTAAAGTTAAAGTTGTATGTTGTTTTTTAATTATGAAGGTATATTTGTAACCTAGTTATTGTATGTTGATTAAATTATCCATGTGTTTGTATTAAAGTCTGATGTTTCTACTATTATTGTTGACGTGTTTGTATTTAGGTCTAATGTTTGTATTACACTTCCCTTTGTAACGAGGTCTCATGTTTGTGTATGGTCCTATAACTGGATACAGTTATCATGCATAATGTAGACTCGTGAATCTATTTTTAGCTGCACTTCGGACACTACATGAGTACAGTCGCGTTTTCGGCTGCATTATGGAGTGAGTACCCAACTATCAGCGCATTAGGAACATGACCCTTCACTAACAACAGGTCCCTACACTAACAACAGGACCCTACACTAACAACAGGACCCTACACTAACAACAGGACCCTACACTAACAACAGGACCCTATACTAACAATAGGACCCTACACTAACAACAGGACCCTACACTAACAACAGGACCCTACACTAACAACAGGACCCTACACTAACAACAGGACCCTATACTAATAACAGGACCCTACACTAACAACAGACCCTAGACTAACAATAGGACCCTACACTAAGAACAGGACCCTACTCTAACAATAGGACCCTAGACTAACAATAGGACCCTATACTAATAACAGGACCCTACACTAACAATAGGACCCTACACTAACAACAGACCCTAGACTAACAATAGGACCCTACACTAAGAACAGACCCTAGACTAACAATAGGACCCTATACTAATAACAGGACCCTACACTAACAATAGGACCCTATACTAACAATAGGACCCTATACTAACAATAGGACCCTATACTAACAATAGGACCCTACAGTAACAACAGAACCCTACACTAACAATAGGACCCTACACTAACAATAGGACCCTACACTAACAATAGGACCCTACACTAACAATAGGACCCTACAGTAACAACAGAACCCTACACGAACCCATGAAACTTAACCAAAGATGAGCTTTTTATTGTGACAGTATTGAAAGCTACACTGCATGTTTGTGGTTGACCTACACAATGAAGACGCTGATAGAAATATCATCAAACTATAAAACAATGGGACCAGACGGCTGTTACATCACTTTACAAAAAAAAAACAAAAAAAAACAACCTTAGTAAACGCATTGCGAAATATCCCTAACATAGTAACATAATTATCAGTAAACTACTCAAACAGTATAAAGACACCCCCAGGTTAGATACGAATAGAGTTATAATATACAACGTTTAACACTAACCCTGATTCTAATAACAAAAAAAAAAGCAATTTGGTAAAACGATACTATATTTATTGCTAAGTCGGCACTTTTTTATAAGATCTAACATGTGTCTCACTGTTAGCTTATGAATGAATTATATTGACAATACAGTCCGCGGGGTAGACCAAGTTACTTACAAGCTACACACATTCCAAATCAACACATTTAAACTTAGCACAAAGACATGATGAGGTGTGTACAAAGTCCCTATATAAAACGCACTACGCTTCACATAAGGGGACACAACTCCACGAGAGTACAGCAGTAGAAAATTTGTTTTACGCCGTAGCTAAATTCTGAAAGACTTATTTACGCTTTATTTTGATCATTGAATGTATTGAGGAGCGGTTGTAGGTTATGTTGAAACTCGTCAAGTAGGTTATATAGTGATAAAATCGATGACCATGGCCTATGTTGACGTGTGTGTTTATCGTGTTGACTTTATGAGACTCATTGGGTCAAGAGATTGATTAAGACAAAGGTGACGGTAACTAGGATTATTTCTTTAAGGTACTAAAGCTTAGATTTTAGAATCGCTTCTGGTATGAGAAAATGTGTTCTTTACTTTACTCATGCATACTTTCGTGGTTTTAATTGACGTGTGTCTGAAGAGTTTTGATATTAATGGTCAGCATATCTAGTTACACTGTCTAACCCTAACTTAACCTCTCCATCTTAACCCTAACTAAAGAGGCGTTGTATGGTGTGGTCAAACCCTAACCTAAACTCTCCACCTTGACCCTAACTAAACGAAGAGGCTAGCCGTTATGTCGAGTGTGGTCTAGCCATAACTTAACCTCTCAACCTTAACCCTAACTAAACAAAGAGGCTTTCCCTTATCTCATGTATGGTTTAACCCTAGCTCAACCCTAACTAAACAAAGAGGCTAGCCGTTATGTCGCATGTGGTTTAACCCTAGCTCAACCCTAACTAAACAATGAGGCTAGCCGTTATGTCGAGTATGGTTTAACCCTAGCTCAACCCTAACTCAACAAAGAGGCTTTCCGTTATGTCGAGTATGGTTTAACCCTAGCTCAACCCTAACTAAACAAAGAGGCTTTCCGTTATCTCATGTATGGTTTAACCCTAGCTCAACCCTAACTAAACAAAAAAAGAGGCTTGACGCTATGTCTAGTGTACCGAGGTTATCCAGAGTACCAAGCCTTCTTATTTTATTCACTGCCCGAATACAAGACGAACACCTCGTTTTCTTAAAAGTGACTCCCATGTTTTAACATAGAAGGTTAAATTGTAAACAAAAAGGTAAAGATTTATGAATAAGAAATAGTGTTCATTTAACCAATACGCTAGATCAGCACTTTATTTTTGCGCCCCGTTTTAACGAGATCTGCAAATCTCTACAGGCTTCTAAAGAGCGTATTTTATTTAACTTATAGGCCTAGGCTACATTTTATTATAATTATGTTAACACGTCCGATTTGACGAATCGAGCCTTAATTAAAATTTTAAAAAATTATCCATTAGCCTACAGCAAGCCAAAAAAAAAAAAAAAATCGAATTTTGGCTGCAAATCAAAACAAATTTGAGTCGAGGCTCATTTTTGTAAAATGTAGACTAGGCCACTAACTATAGATCTAGGGATATTTTTATAATTTCACTCTCATTCAACTTTATTGATTTTGTTTCAATTGAGTGGTTAAGAAAGGGGACCAATTTTGTTTTCGTCTTTTTTTCTTTGACGTTTTTTTCCTTTCTTTTTCAACCCTTTTTGCTCAGCTGACACAATCATAACAAACTACATGCATTATTATGGAACTAATTGCTATTGTAGTACTCATTTCCAAGTAGCCTACTGATTACTTAATGACTGCGTATTGTTTGAATTTGATAGTTTTTTAACAGAATTCAACTAGATCTAGATCTAGATCTAGATTTTCTTTGTTTTTAAGCGTGTTGTTTGAATTTGATAGTTTTTAACAGAATTCGACTAGATTTTCTTTGTTTAAAAAAAAAAAAAAGGTAACAAGAGTTAAACCTAGGTGAGGCAGAAGTACCCACAGTACTCACGTTAGCTAAAAGAAAATGATTGCTTGTGGTGGCCCACCGTAAACCGTCAAACAAAGTCCAATGAACTCCGGGCCACTGTCTCGTGGGCATACTAATATTCACAACAACCGAACACAGTGGGGTGTAACACACCATGTGCGGGTCTGCCCCTCCACTTGCGGCCTTTTATTCTCAAAAACACCGCCTCGCCGGTTCGCTTACTCTCGCGGTAAAACGTAGTGTGGTTTCCGGGGCGGTGAGGGTTCGGAGGGGATGGGCTTAAATTTTGAACCGGAAAAAAAATTGGACTGAATAGATTAAACTAAAGCGAGGTGCAGGTAGAAGTTAGGGCAAGTGTTCTATTTTTAGAATGAAATAAAATGGGAATACCCGTTTTTATCGGCGGACAGTTATTTTCTACTGCAGTGACAAATATGTTTACACACGTTTTGGTGACGAACTATCAAAACAATTCAACGTGGTATTTGTTTTGTTAACTTATAGATCTAGTATGAATTATTACACTTATGTGGTTTTAACAATACATCAGATAGATTTTAAACGTGATTGTTAAACCTAGTTGTTTTGTTATTATTTGTTTTCATTAATGCTGAATTTAACTACTATAAGCAACATAATATATTATTATTTAAAAACAAAACATGATGGAAGTTATTTCAATATATGGTACGTTTTGATTAGTCTATAAAATATTATAATACACTTAATACACTATATATGTCGGGGTCATCCACGTCCATAAATTACGTCACTCTCATTGGGGTGGGGGATACATAATTTTGTATCGGTGTATGATAAAGGGGAGGGGGGGGGGGGGGTTCAAATTATGTGACGTCACGCTTTTACATTATAAAACAGCAATGTTAGAAAACGAATTTTAGCTGTTATTTCGCGTTTTAGAAAAAGGTTTTAATACATTGTAATAGGAATCGATTTAAATACACTAAGTTGATAGAGTTTAGACAAGATTTTAGAAAAATATCGTATTTTAAGAAAAACTCAACAGCAATTTTGAGGGGGGGGGGGGGGGGTGTAGGATGTGGTGTGACGTCATTTTAAGGGGTGTGTCTGGCTTTTTGTGACGATGTGTGACGGAGGGGAGGGGGGAGGTAGAAATCGTCTTAAAAAAGCCTGACGTCATTTATGGATGAACCCATAAATTTAACGATACGACTAACGTCTACTTACATATAATTAAGCTGTATGCACATGCACTGTGTCAATATAACAGGTTGCAGGGAATAGGCCCTGTTAAAAAATAAAAAAAAGAAACAATCTATAGCAATTGTAATTAAATATGAAACAAAGACACTATTTAAATTTAGGAATGGTTGAGTTATGTTTCATTAATGATAGACATACCCATTATCAAACACCTTTTATCGTCATTTAAATAGTGATCAGTGTATAAAAAGGAATATAATGTTTTAAGTTTTTATCTTTAAGGTATGTGATTGAAAAACCAGTGGACTATTTACAACGGTTAAAAAGTATGTAAGTATGCAGATAGTGGTCGTTAGTATAAGGCCCAATGGAGGCACAATGTAGAAAAACAACTGACTAAAGCAGGACTATGTTGGGGGAATGTCGGCAAAAAATTTCAGAGACTGACAAAAGCAAAAATAGATTTTTATTTGGGCCCCGATGTATTTGGGACACAAAACGGAAAATATGATGTTGATAATATAAGATCTTTAATAATTAAATGGTGAACGTTTATCTTAATACAGACCTGCAAAAACGAGTGCTGGTTTGATACTAGTGAATGTGAGAGGGGGGGGGGGGGAGGGGGGAGAGCTAAAACTGATTTTTTTTGGTGCAATTTTCGTGCTGGCAAAGATACCTTAGACCAGTGGCGTAGGCAGGGGGTGGGGTAGGGAGGGTCATAACGCCCCCCCATAGACCCCTCGGTATATATATAAAGTATGAGGGGGGGGGGTGCAAATCGAAAGTTTGGGGGGGGGGGGGTGCAAATCGAAAGTTTAAGGGGGGGGGGGGGGGTGCAAATCAAAAGTCTGAGGGGGTGTGCAAATCGAAAGCTTGTCCCCTGCTAAAAATTGGAACCACCCCCCCCCCCCTTTGAGACGATCCTGGCTACGCCACTGCCTTAGACTCCATGACTCAACCAAGTGGTATGTTTTTGAACCCAAGTTTGTTGCAAGCCAAAGAGTCCTTTTATGTTGGCCACACATTCTTCAGAAAGCTCCAGATTAGAGCTCAAACAAAATATTTCGTGAAATTTAAGCATTCCGGATCAAGTATCTAATTACCTTTTTTAACAGACAAAAAATACTGATAGTGTGTGTAGAGATAATTTTAGATACATAATATTATGGGGCGACTATAAATACGATGTAAAAACTGAGGTTTTTATATTCGTCAAAAATATATAATTATCACATTTTATTAATTTGATAAACTAATAACTAGATTTTTTATCGTTTCTAGATGAATAATTAAGGGGACGAAACTCGATAAATGTCAGAGTAATGCAACCTAATTGTTTTGGTAAAAAAATGAAACTACAAGGTGTCTGGGTAAAACTAATTGATTTTTTATTTTATTTCGAGAGTGCTAAAAGTGGAAATTAGGACAAGACTCCAGGGGATAAAACCTCATTAAACTTTTTGGACGGCGTTTATCAGAGGATGTTGTTGTCGGGGATGAATCACGGAGGCCGTTTAACCAGTGCACCAAGGCTAAATACTTCGCTAGATGAATCCTTTACTACAGCCTACACAAACCCACTTTGTCACAGGTTTTATACAAACTACCACCATGCTAACATTGCTGATCAAAACACAACTACTACACAAGTATAGCATGACCACACCATAAACAGAGTTTCTTCCAGGGGCTCTGTTCGGAGGGCTCAGCCCCCCCCCCCCCCTGAAAAAAGTATACCGCACCCCCTCCCCCCGAACGAAATGGAATTTATATAGAAAATATATACTTTTAACACTGACCGCCCCCCCCCCCTCCCTGGAAATTTTAGTCCGCCCCTCCCCCTCCGCTCCCCCGAAAATTTCAGGTGCCCTCCTCCCACCCACCGGAGAATAAAGTCTGGAAGAAAAACTGACCATAAATCCCACACGAAAAACGTTGCTCTACACAGAACCACAGCACGACTACAGCAAGACCACGACATCAACACCACAAAACTACAGCAGCTTTACACACAACTACCACTCAACCACAGCCGCTCAACACACAACCACAACTTAAATACCTCTCAACACACAACCACAAAAAAAAAATACCGCTCAACACACAACCACAAATTAAATACCGCTCAATACACAACCACAACTTAAATGCCGCTCAACACACAACTAAAACACGACCACAAGTGCTTTACACACAACCACCTCACAACCGCAGTTGACCTAGAACCTACACACAAGCACCACCATCACCACCAAATAGCCATTTAACGTCCCCCCCCCCACCTGTTGTCTAACCCCTCATAACATAACTAATCTAAAAGAGCTATCTTTATAACTCACATACATGATTTATTTATATTTTTTTTACCCTCAGTCGCCCCACTAACACGTGAACCCAACACAAATTCCCCCAATTTTTAGCTAGCCTCTCCAGATAATTTGAATAATTCAATTTGTTTCGTTATTTCAAAGCGTTCCCCAAAGCTGTTCCTTGTTTTTTTTAATCTGCAGTTTCTTTTCGCTTTTTATTCTTTGAATTCTTCTTTCTTTTTTTCTCTTCCTATTATCATCTTTAAAAAAAAAATAATTCATTTAAATTGTCAATATTCGTGTTTTCTTTTCTTTCATGTTTTTCATTTTCATTTATCATCCCTTCATCATACGGGTTTTTTTAAAATAAAAATATAGCATGTTTGTAAAGCGCTTTGTTTCGTTGTATTTTTACTTCTAATTTTTCTCACTACAGCGTAAATTTAAATAAGATAAAACATCAAAGTTGTTGTAACAAGAGTATAAAGTGATAGAACTTCTTATATCAAATTGTATGCATTTTTTTTCATTTGAAGCAGTATATATTTTTTATCTATCTAAGCTAGAAACAAAGACTTGACATACCACTAGATAGAAGAAATTTACATTTTAAATCTTCGTCAATTATGTTTGACGAAGGGTTAGTAGAGCTTATTGTTTCAGTAAACTGGAGTTTACTATACATGTGAAGGATTACAGTTAGCTCACGTAAGATGAACGAGTGAGAAACACGATGCATCTGTCTTTGTTTTACTCTTTTCTTCTTCATTCTTTAATGTTGGAAAGGAGCAGTGTTTCTTTCAGACTTTTTTTTCTCATCGAGGGGGGGGGGGGGGCAATCGATATTTTTGGTAGGCGGACTAATTTTTTCGGGGGGGGGGGGGGGGGGTGAGATGGACCGACACTGATAAAAGTATATAATTTAGATATAAATTCTATTTCTTTCAGGAGGGCGGTAGACTTTCCCCGAAAAGATGTCAGGAAGAAATTCTGGACGGGAGCTCTTAAAACACAGTTAAATAGTACGTGTTATCATATTATGCGCCATCCAGGCCGTTGATACTCTATTTCAACCTGCTTTCTTATGAGCTTACTTCCACAGCCTTTGTCCATCCAAGTATAATATACACGTCAGCATTTGTTTGACTGTGGAGTTGTCTTTCCTAAATATGTTCTTGTCCCCAGATATAGAGCCTCATCTACCCCAGGGTTCGAACTCGGGACTTTTAGGTGTAACAGCCATGAACTTTACCAACCCATGCCAACCCAATGTTTTACTCACTTACGTATTTCCATATGTGTATCTCCAACACAAATGTCAAGGCAGTATTGCTCTAACGCTCGGAGACTTGGAGGGTTACAAAGGCAAATACAGAAATGCTACAGTCGTTCACAAACAAATGCTTACGACATATACTTAGAATAAGATGGCCAGACAAAATACCAAATAAAGACCTGTGGCAAAATACAAAACAACTGCATATAGATTATGGAAATCAAAGCCCGTAAATGGGGATGAATTGGACATACCATGAGAAGGGAAGAAGATAATATTACAAAGAATGCTATGGACAGGAATCCCCAGGGAAGAGAAGTGGGTCGGCCAAAGAGATCGTGGAGAAGAATATTAGAAGAAGAGACAAAGACAGCTGGGTTCCAGAGTTTCTTCAAGACACATCTCTTCGGGGATGGGGGAGGGGGGGGGGAAAGGGAGGTCTCCCTTTACCCCCACCCCCCACCCCCACCCCACCCTCCCGAAGAAAGTCTCCCGCCCCACCGAACGAGATGGAATTTATAAGTTGTAATTACGTCATACGTGATTTCCCCCCCCCCCCCCCCCTATCACAGTCGCGCAATCGTTTCAACACGCACAAGAATAGAAGGGGAAGTAATCGAGCTTATCACGAGTTATCCGCCCTTACGTTAAAATTACACTTCACGCGTAACTGACCAGAGGCGGATGATGTAATCGTGTCAGCTGTCATAGCAGACGGGCACTGCGCGTCATATCCGCCGTGTGTAGTCACGTGGACAAAGGATACCTTCCGAGGGGTAAAACAAGACAGATGTGTAGAGTGTAGCCCGCTCATAGCATTGGTTAGTTTTATAAAGCACCAACTTTTACTGGTTAATTGTTGCATTATAATATTGATCAGCGTTTAATTCAGACATTTTCTCCGGGGGATGGGAGGGCACTTTTAGATGTTTGGGGTGGCGGACTTGAATTTTCGTCACTGATTGAAGTAAATATGTTCTATATAAATCCTTATTCGTGCGATAGAGGAGGCGTGGGGGGGGGGGGGGGGGAAGGGGAGGCGTGGGGTGCTATATGTGCTTCGAGGGAGGGACACTGACCCCCCCTCCTCCCTAATAGATGACGGAAATTAACTCTGATATTGATAAATAACATAAATTCATCAACATTATTTATTATTATTTAGGAAGCATTAATTTTATACCTGAACATGATCCCCCCTCCAATGAATATCGGCTGACAGGTGGGTCCGTAGTCATCAAGTAAACGGAAAAAAAAAGTCACAGGAAAAAAAAACACAGAAAAAAGTCACAGTTTTTGCTAGGAAAAAAAGTCACAGAAAAAAAGTCACAGTGGAAAAATTTTATCGGAAAAAAAGTCACAGAAATAAAGTCACAGAAAAAAAGTCACAAAAATCTTTTTAGAAATATTTTTATTAATTTGTTAAGAATTGTAAAATCTTGTATGTTTATTGTTGTGGGTTGTATTTTTTGATAGCGTAAATTATTTATAGACGT